TATATAAAGATTTCATCTACATGTATTACGATTAAAAAATAATTGGCAAAAATTTTTAAAATTATCAATTAAAGGCAATAACTCCTATCATGGGGGTTCATTAAACATTTCTTTCAAATTGGCATTTTTGTAGATATAAATGTATTGCTGATCATTTTTGCTGTGTACAGTTTTTGTCTGTTTACTAGTTTCCAAAATAATAGGTAATAAAATGCTCCGCTGGGGCGCAGCTTGATACGACCGCAGAGGTCGATCCCTGAACAGTTGGGGCAAGTATGGACACAACATTCAAGCTTGAAACAGCACTGAATTTGGATTGTAATTAAATATTTGACACAGCATAGGTTTCTCACACAGAATGAAAGTAGTCTAAGAACTTAAAATTTTTTAATTTACCTATTCAAACCATATCATTATTATTTGCTTTTATATATAAATCAGAAATAACCAATTTAAAATGGAAAATTTTAAAGAAAAAAAAGGAAAAAAAAATCCCCCCCCCAAATTTTTTGAAACCCCCTTATGATTCATCACCCCCAAACTCAATCCCATCTTTCCCTTTGTGGTATGGTACCTTGCAGTACAATTTCAGAGAGATCCATACACTTGAACACAAATTATTGTCTGGAAACTAGAAAAATGCTTGGGTTTTTTGCACCTTTTTGGCCCCAAATTCCTAAAAGTTTAGGGCAATTACCCCCACACTCAAACCAAGCTTTCCCTTTGTGATATGGAACCTTGCAGTACAATGTCATAAAGATCCATACACTTACACACAAGTTATTGTCATGAAACTAGAAAAATGCTTGTTTTTTTGCCCCTTTATGGCCCCTAATTCCTAACATTTTGAGACAATTACCCCCAAAAACAATCCCAGCCTTCCCTTTGTGGTATGGTACCTTGCAGTACAATTTCAGAGAGATCCATACACTTGAACACAAGTTATTGTCTGGAAACTAGAAAAATGCTTATTTTTGGCCCCTTATTCCTAAACGTTTTGGGCAAGTACCCCCAAACTCAATTCCAGCTTTCCCTTTGTGATATGGAACCTTGTAGTACAATTTCATAAATATCCATACACTTACACACAAGTTATTGTCATGAAACTAGAAAAATGCTTGTTTTTTGCCCCCTAATTCCTAAAATTTGGAGGCAATTACCCCCAAAATCAATCCCAGCATTCAAACCCTCAATCAGCATCATTTAACAGTAATATCTAAAAATGGAAATTACATAATAAAGGTATTAAAATAGAAAATGACATCATAGTCATGGCTAAAAATAAACAAAATCCTTAATCAGCAACATTTTACAGTAATATCTAAAAATAAAATTCCTTTGTAACCATAAAAGCCCATTTAAATACATCATGACAGATATTAAAATAGAAAATGACATCATAGTCATGGCTAAACATAGCAAAAACCTTAATCAGCATCATTTAACAGTAATATCTAAAAATAAAAATTTCTTTGCAACCATAAAAGTAAAATAGAAAATGACATCATAATCATAGCTAAAAATAAACAAAAATTTTTTTTATTACCAAATTTTAAATGGAGTTTATTAAACTAAAACAATAAATTTGCAACCATAAAACCCCATTTAAACACATCATAAAAGTATTAAATAATTCAACTACATCATAAGGCTATAAAAATAGAAAATGACTTCATAGTCAAGGCTAAAGGTAAACAAAAAACCTTCATCAGCAAAATTTTATATTGGCAAATTTCCAATGAAATTTATTATACTAAAATTGTTGGCAAATTTCCAATGCATTTATTAACAATAAAGTTATTGGCAAATTTCCAATTTACATAATTTAAAAGCAGTGTAAGTGAGATATTTAAATGAGTTTGAATTACCAACCTTACACTGCTTTTAAATAATGTTTTGTACTTATTTGTCTATTAACCTGGAAACCCTTGTTTTTTCACCTTTTTTTCCCTTATTATTTAAAGGTTTGAGCCATAACCCTACCCCAAAGCCAATTCTTAAATTCCAATGTAACCTAAATTTACAATATACATAACTTCAATTTAAGTTTTTGATAAAATCAAACCACATCATTATTATTTGCTTTTATATCTAAATCAGAAATAATTAACCAACTTTAAGTGGAAAATTTTCACACATCACGCCCCCCCCCCCCCCCCCCCCCCCCCCCCCAAACTCAATCCCAGCCTTCAGTTTGTGGTATGGTACCTTGCAGTACAATTTCACAGAGATCCAATTACTTAAACACAATTAATTGTTGGAAACTAAAAAAAAATGCTTATTTTTAACCCCTTTTTTAGCCCCTTATTCCTAAACATTTGAGCAATTATCCCCCAAACTCAATTCCAACTTTCTCTTTGTGATCAGAATTAACCAACTTAAAATGGAAAATTTTAAAGAAAAAAACAAGGAAAAAAAATCCCCCCCCCCCCCAAAATTTTTTGACCCACTTCCCTTTGTGGTATGGTACCTTTAAGTACAATTTCAGAGAAATCCATACACTTGAACACAAGTTAATGTCTGGAAACTAAAAAAATGCTTATTTTTGCCCCCTTTTTTGGCCACTTATTAATAAATGTTTTGGGCAAACATTTTACAATAATATTTAAAACTGAAATTAATTTGTAACCTTAAAATTAAATAGAAAATGACATCATAGTCATAGCTAAAAATAAACAAACTATTGGTAAATTTCCAATGGAGTTTATTATATTAAAACAATAAATTTGCAACCATAAAAGCGCATTAAAATACATCATAAAAGTATTAAAAAAAATTTAACTACATCATAAGGCTATTAAAATAGAAAATGACATCATAGTCAGACTAAAGGTAAACAAAAAACCTTCATCAGCAAAATTTTATATTGGCAAATTTCCAATGAAGTTTATTATACTAAAATAATTGGCAAATTTCCAATTTACATAATTCAAACATAGTGCAGGTGAGATATTTAAATGAGTTTGAATTACCAACCTTACACTGCTTTTAAATAATGTTCTTTACTTAATTATTTGTCTATTAAAATGGAAACCCTAGTTTTTTAACCTTTTTTCCCCTTATTCCTTAAACGAAAAAAAATAATTACCCCTTTTTTGACCCCCCCCTATGATTCATCACCCCCCCTTCCCCCCCAAACCAAGCTCAATAACAGCCTTGCCTTTGTGGTATGGTACCTTGTAATACAATTTTAGAGAGATCCATACACTTGAACACAAGTTATTGTCTAGAAACTAAAAAATGCTTATTTTTCACCCCTTTTTAGGCCCCTTATTACTAAACGTTTTGGGCAATTACCACAAAACTCAATTCCAGCTTTCCCTTTGCGAAATGGAACCTTGTAGTAAAATTTCAGAAAGATCCATACACTAACATACAAGTTATTGCCATGAAACTAGAAAAATGCTTGTTTTTTGCCCCCTTTTGGCCCCTTATTCCTAAAATTTCGAGGAAATTAACCCCAAAATCAATCCCATCATCAACCCTTTGTGATATGGAATCTTGTAGTACAATGTCAAAGAGATCCATACAATAACACACAAGTTATGTCTGGAAGTTACAAAAATGCTTATTTTCGGCCCCTTTTTGGCCCCTAATTATTTAACTGTTGGTACCATAACCCCCAAAATCAATCCCCACCTTCCTATTGTGGTATTGAACCTTATGGTAAAATTTCATAGAGATCCATTCACTTAAACTAAAGTAAGAGTGCGAAAACCATTGTGTATTCGGACGACGACGCCGACGACGACGACGACGACGACGACGCCAACGTCATACCAATATACGACCACAAAATTTTTTTGCGGTCGTATAAAAATGCTTAAAGGGTCTATAAGTTTTTTTTAGTAATATTGGCATTTTTGTAGAAATTCTATTGCTGTTTACAATTATTTGTCTTTAATTTTAAAGGTTCCTTGCAGACATTAAAATTTTATTCATCTTCAAATCAAGTTTTTGTTGAAAAAAGATGAAGCAGTAAAAAATTAATGACATCTCTGAAGGTAACAAGTACGTTAAAGGCCAATCTCACAGATTTTTATGAAATTTTGCAATTAATTAGAGCACGTGGAACTGCATATGAATACCGAAAAAATATGTAAGTATCTTTCAAATTTGAATAAGTATATTCCAAATTTGAAAGTTACTTACATATTTTTTCGGTATTCATATGCAGTTCCACGTGCTCTAATTAATTGCAAAATTTCATAAAAATCTGTGAGATTGGCCTTTAACGTACTTGTTACCTTCAGAGATGTCATTAATTTTTTACTGCTTCAAAATACCTATATATAGATATTTAGAAAATTGAATATTCTGTAGAAAGGAGTACATATGTATAAAATGTATGTAAATATCGAAAAAAATATTGAAAAACTTGACTTTAAATTGTCTTTTCTAAAAAACGTTTTCCTACAAACTTTCTTTAAAATTGATATGCTATTGCCCCTTTATTTTCAGTTATATTGATAGGAAAGTTATAAGGGGTCACTAAATTTATTTTTGCTGTATAAATCATTCATGCATCTCTGTAATCTCTGAGAACATGGTAAAACATAAGATTTCTAGCCAAAAAGTCACGATTATTTTTGCCTTTTCCATGCTTTTTCCAAGCTGTAATGAAGATTTAACTATTCATACTAAAAAAATGTTTCGGTGACCCCCAATATATAAATAAAGTGCAAGTTTCAGTAGCAATAACATATAATTTTTTTTTTAATTCGTAGGACAGGATTTCAAGAAATTTTAAATTTAAGTCAAAATTGCATAACTTTTTTTACGATATTTACGAGTATTCTATACATTTGTACTACTATTTTCTGGATATTTAATTTGCAATAACTCAGTATCAAATTTCTATGTAGCTTTTTCAATGTTCGTGTTCAGTTCATCATGCTCTAGTTGTATGCAAATTTTTTTTTAATTCTGCGAGATCATCCATTTACGTACCCGTTACCTTAAGAATTTACTACATTGTAGTACAAAATATTCAAACTTACATATAAGGTTTTTGATCCTGTATTATCTGCAGAAATTTTAACCTCAACATCTGGTCACTCTCACTGATTTCTAAATTTTCTCTCTCTGTAAATAAATAATTTTTAGATAAAGGATTATTATGTAAACAAATGTTTTCCTTTACTTTTGAATAATAAGAGTAAAATTCATACAACTGCTGATTTTTGTCTGAAAGACTAACATCATTTGATTCCTTCATATTTCTTGTATGAAACAACCCTTTGATGTATGAAAACAACCAAAGAATATAGAACTGTTAAATCAGCTCACCTAATTGATTAACACTATTTGTGCACATAGTTGAATGTTATTGTACTTAATAATTTGATAATTATAAAACTAGTTGACATGATATATTGTAAATATCAAATTTTTTATAGACATACCGGGGGGTATATATATAGCAACAAATTATTAAATAAATGTGGATTGTGTCCACATGTGGACACAGATGATGCCCCCGCTTGCATATCATATAGTTATAAAGGGACATAACTGAAGAATGGTAAAAGTGACGCTACCCAAATTTGAACTTAATCTGAGTTTTGTGGTAATAAGCATTGTGTGTAAGTCTCATAACATTTGGTTGAAGCTAACTTAAGTAGAAAAGAGAAACTAAAAATTCAGCAATTTTTCTATTTGTAAACACGCATAACTCTAGAACGGTTGTGTATAAGTTTTATAACATTTGGTTGAGACAAACTAAAGGAAACGAATAATTCAGCAATTTTTATGTTTATAAAGGGACATAACTCAAGAATGGTAAAAGTGACGCCACCAAATTTTGTACTTAATCTGTATTATGTAGTAATAAGCATTGTGTATAAGTTTCATAACATTTGGTTGAGACAAACTAAAGTGAGAAAACAGAAACAAAAAATTTGTACTTGATCTTAGTTTTGTGGTAATGAATATTGTGTATAGGTTTCATAATGTTTGGTTGGGGCAAACTTAAATAACAGAATGGAAACTAAAAATTTTCTAATCTTTCAATTTATAACCCAATAATGGTTAAAGTGACAGTACCCAAATTCAACTTGATCTGTGTTTTATCAGTGGAAGTCAAAATTAAACATTGCATTGTATAAAGCATTGATTGTAGTTGATTCAACTATAATCATGGACAAAGGAAGATAACTCCAATTTTAAAAATTACTTGATATTTAGAAGAATATAAAAATTTTGCTATTTTTCCATTTATAAAGGGGCATAACTCTAGAATGATTAAAGTGACCCCACCAAAATTCAACCTTGATCTGTGTTTTGTGGTATTAAGCATTGTGTATAAGTTTCATAACATTTGGTTGAGGCAAACTTAAATTAGAGAACGGAAACTAAAAGTTTTGCAATTTTTCCATTTATAAAGGGGCATTACTCTAGAACGGTTAAAGTGACGCCACCAACATTCAAACTTGATCTGTGTTTTGTGGTAATAAGCATTGTGTATAAGTTTCATAACATTTGGCTGAGGCAAACTCAAGTTAGAGAACGGAAACCAATTTTGGGACGTACGTACGTACAGACGGACAAGGGTAAAACTTAATGCCCCCACAGCTACGGCGGGGGATAATAAAAACAAAATAAATTCAATTCCATATCAAATATAAACAAGCATTCTGTGAGTATTGCCTGGCAATACATAGCCCACTACAAGTCAAAAATTCATTGTATTGGAACAAAATGCTAACTTGATCTAGAACTTGTCATGGTGTAAACTATATAACAAATATCAAGTCAATATCCTGAAGCATGACGAAAAAAAAATGTGGAAAATTGATTATTTGAGTGAATTTTCTAAGTCCAAGGACCATAACTCTGCACAAAATCATTAGACAGGACCAAAATTCGAACTTGGTCTATAACTTGATGATAAAACAATACATCAAATATCAAATCAATATTGTCAAGACAGACAGACAGACAGACGGACGGACAGACGGACGGACGGACGGATGGACGGACGGACGGACGGACAGGGACCGGGACCGGGACCAACACCAGGACCAGGACCAGGACCAGGACCAGGACCAGGACAGGACAGGACAGGACAGGACAGGACAGGACAGGACAGGACAGGACAGAACAGAACAGAACAGAACAGAACAAGAACAAGAACAAGAACAGAACAAGAACAGAACAGAACAGAACAGAACAGAACAGAACAGAACACTGATGTGCATTGTGGGATGGTCAGTCCTTATTTTCATTTTAACAACATCACTCAGTACATCACAAGAATACTACAGTCAAACCACTTTAAGTCGAAGTTGAAGGGACCAGACAAAAGTATTCAACTTATCCTCAGTTTGACTCATTCAAGGTCTATCCCGCCGTCATAAATTTGGCAGGCATGAAAAACAGTATGAGATTTGTGTAGACTAGTTATTTAAAACAGTGTGCCATTTTTTTCATATGACAATTTATGACTGTGTATACATCCTCCATATTTTGTGTGTGTATTGCCTCTATAAAAAAAATGTAAATAGATTAAATGAAGTTAATTCTTTACTAAGCAAACTAGTGAAAACTGACATGTCAGCAAGGACCCAGCTTGCTTATTTTAATGTAAGGCAAAGCGAGCGATGCATACAAAGCTTTATAGGTTGCCAATTTCCTTAAATTTTGACACAAGCAACTAATTTAGGATATGTTCTAGATTAATATATGTTTTGTAAAAATCCATGCCCTATGACATGTATTTGGTTGGCATTTTCATAAATGGTGGGCCATCAATAATTTTGACAGAGAGAATCATTTTGTAAATGAGAGGCGAAAGATACCAGAGGGACATTCAAACTCATAAGTCGAAAATAAACTGACAACACCTTGGCTAAAAAAGAAAAAGAGCAACAGACAAACAATAGTACATAAAACAAAGAAAACTAAAGACTGAGCAACACGAACCCCACCAAAAACTGGGGGTGATCTCAGGTGCTCTGGAAGGGTAAGCAGATCCTGCTCCACATGTGGCACCCGTCACGTTGCTCATGTTAGTACAAACCTGGTAATAAGTCTAATTTGGTAGGTCACATTCATGAAAAGGGGACAGGATTGTAGTTACAACACTAGGAACATATATATATCCCCTATCATCTGTGAAACGGATATTCCATAACGATCAACCAACTTTTGATGGTGTCCGTAAAATTTAGGAAGGGATGATTTCAACTTCACTATTTGGAACTCTTGGTTTAAAAGCTTCCTTGTGAGCAGCAACCCTCTATCAAGGAAATCATAATAGGAAATATAAGCCGGGGAATATTGTATCAATTGGGAGATATATACTCCGTATGCAGGCGCTGCTGGAATGTTTCTATCACAATTGGGAAGCTGAAATCATCTCTTTTGTCGTAAAGTTTTGTTTTCAACCAACCCTTATTGTCAATGTCTAGATGTAAGTCCAGATATGAGGCAGACTTAACTGTGTCCTTTGTAATGATACCTTTTTCATTTAAAACCTTGCCAGAAGTATGATTCTCAGATATTATCTTTTTTAACAAAAACTGAGTTTTTTAACACAATTTTGACACCAAGAAACAAATTGGAATGCATATCATGCCTACATTCAATATCAGTTTTTGCTAAAATCCTATTATAAGAAAGACATTTCTCAAAATTTGTGATTTTTAAAAAAACAAAGTTTTTTCCAAAATCAATGAGCAGAATTTTACCAAAATATAATATGCACATCTACATACTATGCACAACACATCATTGGCCTCCTACCTATACTTTTTGAGTTTTTGCATTTTTGCATTTACAAACATTGTTGACAGACAGACAGATGGACAAAGTGAAAACTATAAGGCTATGCATCCTTGATGCTGGGCCCAAATTAACTATCAGTCACTATAAATTATGGTATCACTCACGGATGAAACAAGTCCTGAAAGATCACTAATGAGGCTCACCATAAACATGTCATTTTAACAAACAAGTATGTTTACACACCTTCAATTACTTATGAAAATGATAAGGTTACACAAGAAAAGCATCCAATTTAAGTTTATTTTTCGTAATTTTGTAGTAACTGTTTCAAACTTCAAGACACCTGGGTCACTTTACATTTACAGGACTATAAAATTTACTTGACTTGACTGAGAAATCAAATCAACCAAGTTCGACTCATAAGAAGTTAAAATGCATCAATCAAAAGAGAATTTTACCGGGACCAAAAAATTACCTAGACTCATCAGAGTTTTTGATACAACTGAGTTCAACAACAAAGTTTGACTGTATTTGCTATATTTGATTTCAGTTGGTTTTTCAAGATTCACTCTCGACAGTTAAATTTTTAATATTTAAAACACTTGGCAAGCCTCGCGTTTTAAATTTGAAAATTTAACTGTCTCGAGTGGATAAGTATCGTATCACACTCGATGCAGTGGTAGAATCTATATTTATCTGGTTCTTACTATCTAGAGAACTTTTCTACATATCTTCTACCAGACCAATTCGGCAGTTCTGTTTAGGTTCTTTTAATTTTGATGCTTATAAATATACATAATATATGAAGTTTTCCACATTTTTGGTCTTAAGCATTCAGGAACATGTGTCATATATTATGAAATTGGTATCATACATGTATATGGAAACCCACAGCTGTCATGTATAAAAAACTTACAAAAAGTTATGCTCTAGTTTAAAGTAAAGTAAAGGTAAAACTGTGCTGTGCGAAGATGACTCGAGTCAATAAAGCTTACTTTAATTACAATATGCTAAGTTGAATTTATACTATTGTAATGGATGTGATCTGATAGTCTGACTTCACAAGTTTCAGTTTAGCATACCTGTCAACTGACCCGGATCCTGCGGGTGTGACCGGAGATTTTCACAATTCTGAGGGGTCACCCGGAACACCCGCCGGGTGACCAAATAACCCTGCAATTCAGAAAATAACCCGTTTTCACCCAGATTCCTTAGCCTTCAGACTGATTAGATATAAAGTGATTTCAATGAAATACATACGTAATTCTTCCTGGACAAGAAGTTCAACTAGCTGTGTAAACTCAGCTCAATTGACCCATTTCAGTGCATGGCTTCACTTGACAGCTTTGGTGTCAAAC